TAAAATAAAGTGGGCAGCAATAGCTGGGTATATAACATATCATAAGATATAGACAGAACATGGCCTTGTGCCATACCATGAACAGGGATGCCAGGAGTTCTGGAGAGCATCTGCATGATGTAACCTATTGTGGACTGCTGATTCGGCAACAATTTTTCATGAGGAGGAGACCGTGATTGTTAACTGAGGCATGATGTTTGTCATCTTGAAAAGTGAAGAGTGAAGAGCAGTTCTGCTGAGCCCAGGCCAAGATTGCCTTCTGGGACTTCCTCCTCTCCGTCTTTCACTTCTGTAATCTTCTCCAATCTGCTGAAGCTACCTGCTCAGCACCCTCCCATTTCCTCACAACCTTCCTCTTGCTGCCCACAGGTAGACCTGCCTTATCCTACCCTTCTCCATTGCTCCATTCACGGACCCTGCCCCATCTCCTTCATTTATTCATATTTAGGGTATTCAAGTGTTCAGAGAAACAGTGGATAGGGGATCCAGTTAGTACACGTGATATGTGTATCAAATGATGATAGCTAGGTAGGTATTTCCCAAATTAGGGTCCAAAGACCTAACCCTAGAGGTTTGAGGGGTCCACAGGAATTAGGGTAATAATAATGCATTGAGCACTTACATGTTTCAAGTGCTGTTTGAAGTGCTTTACAGATATTTACTTTCACTATAACTTTCTAAAGCAGATACCCTTACCTCCATTTAACATATAAGCAAACCTAGCAACATCTTATTACCATCAAAGACATGAGCAGTTATACAGCTAGGTTATACAAGGTTATACATGTATAGCTAGTAAGCAGTAGAGTAGGGACTCAAAACCTAGTCTGCCTTCAGAGCGAATGATCTCAACCACTTTGCAATGTTGTCATCTGGGGCTTGACAGGGACTGAATGGTCCAAGAAGACCTCATGCATGTGTCTGGTAGTTAGCTGGGGCTATTGGCTGTCACCTCCTCCTCCATGCGGCTTTTCCAGCAGGATACTCCAAAACTCTTTACATGGCAGCCGAATTCCGAGACTGTACCATTGGTCATGGAACAGATAGGCTTATAAACCAAATTAAGATGTGTGAATCACATTGTTAGGTGGCAGCTTTAAAACATGTCCCTAAATTCTCTGACACTTTTTCCATTGAGAGGTGGTGGTCCATTGTTATTCAGTCTATTGGTGGTGTCTGATCCCATGGACTGCAGCATGTCAGGCTCCCCTGTTCTTCACCATCTCCCTGTTACATGGGCTGGCCCTAGTGGCTTACTGGTGGCTGGTAGAATAAGTGGAAGTGATACTTCATGATTCCTTAGGATAAGTCATTAAAGGTCATGAACCTGGTATTTTTTCAGACACTTGCTCTCAGGGAAGCCAGCTGCCATGTGAGAAGTCTGACTTGTTGGAGGGGTGTGTGAAGGTATTCTGGTTCACAGTCCCAGCTGAGCTTCCAGCCAGACAACAATCAGCATCAATTGTCAGCCACATGACTGTGCCATCTTGGATATCCAGCCTTGATGAGCCTTTAAATGACTGCAGTTGCAGTGACATCTGATAAGAGACTCTAATAAAGAACTGCCCAAGCAATTCCTTCCTGAATTCCTGTTACTATATCATGAGCAGGATAAACTGCCTAGTTAAGCCACTAAGTTTGGTTTAACGTGTTCACTCAAAGGCCAGCAAGAGTAACCAATTTAGAACAGAGTGAGAAGCAAGGAGAAAGAGATAAACAAGTAGATAAACAAGCTTAGGATGAGACATAGGCAGGGTGGAAGGACCATAGTAAAAACCATTTTGTTTTATACGATGTTCATATGTGTTAACAGTCTCTGCCAGTCTTCTCTATAGATGGCATAGTTTTAAGAACTAGAGTGGAGAGGAAGTGAGGGGTTTCAGCAGATTGAAGGGGCCTGGAATCAACACAAGGGAAGTGTGTCTTGTCAAAACCATAGCTGGCCATCAGCTGGCTAAATAGCTAGGGATTCATCTGCTAGAATAATTTATCTGCTAGATTTATCTGTGCAGAGACTATATAAGGCTGTAATGTGGGCATAATGGATATCACGAGTTGGTGATAACATAGTTGTCAGTCTAGAGGTAGTATGATCCATGCCTTATTAATATTTAAAGTTCCCTTGGTCTATTTCTTTCTATCTAAAGTAGAACTTTATTTATTTGACTGCATTGGGTCTTAGCTGTGGCATGCAGGATCTACGAAGCTTCTCTCTAGTTGCCGTGCACGGGCTTAGCGGCCCCTCAGCATGTGGAATCTTAGTTTTCCAACTAGGAATTCAACACACGTACCTTGCATTAGAAGGCAGATTCTTGACCACTGGACCACCAGGTAAGTCCCTAAAGTAGCGCTTTCATTTGTTCCAGCCTTTTTATGTTTAACACATACCCACTCAGTCTATGTGTAACATGCATTATAAGCAAATTGTGTCTATGTTTTCGTTTCTCTTATTCTCTGTAGCAGAGCTGATCACTCACAAAGCATGCAGCAAACACATTTCAGCAAGCCTCAAAGAACAAGCACTTATCGGAACATGGTTGTTATGTCCCACTTACTGCTGAAAGTATCACACGGCCAAGCCCACAATCCTATGGTACAGGTCTACACAAGGGGGTGGATACCACGAGGCATGATTCATTGGGACCATAATGGAACAATCGAACACTAACACTTAGCTAGGAAGTGACTGATCCAATTATTGAACTTTCAGCAATCTATGCTTTTGGAGCCTACACACAAAACTGATGTCCTGGAGACTGCTGGGAATTCTAACTGAAGAGCTTTTTCAAATCTCTCTTCCCAGGCCCCACCCCAAACCCAATGAATCGGACTCTCTTGGGGGTAGAAAGTATGTATGGGGAAAGGTGGTAGAAATCTCAAGAATTTGAGACTTAAATAACTCTGTAGAAGATTCCAACACACCATGGGGGATGTAGGAGGTTTCAAAGACAAGAAAGTCTCTTCACTCTTAAGAGCTTGCATTTTCCACAGAGAACATTCTTAATTATCATTACAACAGGAGCATTGCCCTGATATTTAAAAATTTTAAAAATGCTTTCCCTGTTTAAGTTAGAGTAGTGGTTCTTAAACTTTTGTCTGTGTGTGTGTGTGTGAGATGTGTTAGTCACTCAGTCATGTCTGACTTCTTGCAACCTTATGGACTGTAGCCCCCTCCAGGCTCCTCTGTCCATGGAATTCTCCAGGGAAGAATACAGGAGTGGGTTGTCATTCCCTTCTCCGGGGGATCTTCCCAACCCAGGGATTAAACCTGGGTCTCCCGCATTGCAGGCAGATTCTTTACCATCTGAGCCACCAGGGAAGGAATTAGTATTAATTGGAGGGCCTGTTAAAACGCAGATGACTGGGTCCAAAACCCAGTTTCAGATTCAGGAAGTCTCTGGTGGAGCACCTGAATTTGCATGTCTAACAAATTCTGTTGGCTGGGAACCATACTCTGAGAACCACTGAGTCAGAGCAGTAGAAGGATTTGGTGATAACGTTCCTCCAATGACTCACATTTTTTGTACTTACATTTTTACAGCACATCGACTGCATACATGGTCTTGGGCTGGGTGCAGCAGCGGATATAAGGATAGGATTTAGGTCTTGATTACACTTGAGCAGATTTATTCTCTAAGTGGATCTATTCTCTAAGAAGCCAGGAAGCCTAAGTGTCATCAGAGAGTTCAGACAGAGCAGAGATCTCCTCCCTTAGGAAAAGAGACAATGAAAGCTCGTAAAAGGAGACCCCGTGACTCCTCCAAAAATGCCTAGGATACGTGCAAATGGTGGAAAATTGCAGAATTCTTTCTGTCTCAGCATAGATGAAAAAAAACAACACAACAGACCTGAACAAACACCTGGAAAGGTCTGCGACATTCTTGCCTTGGGCTCCAGCATTAACAATGTGGAAAGTGCTTGCATCAAAACGGGGGAAAGTGTTCTCAGTGTCAAGGTCTCAAAGACTTCTTGGCAAGGGGTAGACATGACTTTGCCTTCCCTTTACAGTTTCCAGAGATAGGGGTCCGGCTGAAGCCTGTGTGTGCAGTGACTTAGCAAACGGCGCGGCTTGAGCGCTTCAATCACCCAAAGGCTGAGCAGGGCGCTGTGGTGAGGCCCGTCCCAAGCGAAGGAGGCCACACGCTGGACCATCATTCAGAACCAGCCTCAAATTCAGGTATGACGCTAGGGCGGGCCGAGTGGCAGTCGGACTACCCAGCCCAGCGAGGGGCTCAAGGCTCTTCTTCCGTACCCCCCAGTCTGGACTCAAACGTGGCGGAGGCCTGGGCCGGCAGCCACGGCCCTCTGGGCACCTTCACGCAACGGAGGGCGGGAGGACGCGCGTGCACTCGCCTCACGCGGGAGAGCGCGCTCGGCGGCGAGCCTGCGCACTGCGCCTGCGCGGCACCGCCCCCTACCCGCCCCTTTCCTTCGCTCCGCCCCGTTACCCCCTACCCTGCCGCTAGGGGTAGCGGCGGCGGCTGTGGCCCGAGAGCGCGCCTGCTTTGAGGCAGACATGAGGAGTGAGAACTAGCGCCGGCCAGAGGGTGGGAAAACCGGCGGTAAGGGAGGGCGGTGCCGGAGAAGGGCGGCGCGTGGCTGACTCATCCCTGTGGAAGATAAGACTGACAGACGCAAACCCTTGCTGAACCAGCCCGCCCGCCCGCGCTGCTCCGGGTCGGCTGGGAGGCGCCCGCCCGCGCCGCCCTCCGCCCGCCAGCCAGTCTTCTCCGGGAGCGCTCTCCCGGCCCGGCCGCCTCAGAGAAAGTTTTCGTCGTCGGGAGGGACCAGAGGCGCCGCGGGCCTTCGGGGAAGGGAAGGAGGACGCAAGAGGAGGCTCCTGCCGCGCGGGCCCGGGAAGTGTATGGTGCCCGGCGCCTCGGCCGCCTGTCGGGAGGACGTCGGGGCGGGGTCGGGCTGAGGCTAGCTCCTTCTTTCACGCGACCTCGTCAGAAATCGCCCTCCCGGACTGCCGCGGGGTCCCCGCTCCTCAGCCCGCCATGTCCCGGCTACTGCCGCTGCTGAGGAGCCGGACTGCGCGCAGCCTGAGGCCGGGCCCGGCCGCCGCGCCCCGCCCGCCCTCCTGGTGCTGCTGCGGGCGGGGGCTGCTGGCGCTCGCGGCCCCGGGCGGCCCCCGGGCGCTGGGCACCCACCCCAAGAAGGAGCCCATGGAGGCGCTGAACACGGCGCAGGGCGCGCGCGACTTCATCTACAGCCTGCACTCCAGCGAGAGGAGCTGCCTGCTCAAGGAGCTGCACCGCTTCGAGTCCATAGCCATCGCCCAAGGTAAGGGGGACCCGAGGCGGGCGATCCCGGGGCCCCGGCGCCCTCCCTTCCCCCGCCCGCATCTCGGCCTGGGCCCGTGGCCGCCGCTACCCTCGCCTTCCTGGCCTTGTGCCTGGGACTTTGGAGGAGGGGAACGTTCCGCCTCCTGAGTGCCCTCGGGGCAGGTAGGACAGGCGCGGATAGTGCCAGGTAGCCGGGGCCAACGCTTGGCTGGTTCCTCCCCAGCCTCAGAATCGGAGCTCAGCCCCAGTTACCAACCGACGAGGACCCGATTTTCTTTGGATTTCCCGTGTTCACCGCCCCCCACCCCCCACCCCAGTCCTCCTGTCCTCTAGCTCGTGCTGCTTTTCCTGCGAACGTGCAGCCGTGCAGGTGGCTAAGCCGACAGGCAGGAGGAAACTTTGTTGAATGGTTATCAAAAGATGTGTGGGTTCGAAAGAAAGGATGTTGCTTATTAAGGCGGAGATACTCTCAGCTGCCTGTTTGCACACACCTCCAGTTTGATCCATCTGAACAGCCGAAGGAAACATTTTCCTGGGAAATGGAAAGAGTGGAGTAGACCAGCAACAGCCCATACAGACTGGCAAGTCAGTCCGTCTTAGGTTTGGTGCTGCCCAAGTTAAACTCCCCTTTCTTTTGTTTCCCCAGAGGATGAAAGGATGCAGTAGATAGGAAGATATTTTTTTCTGGAAATCTGTGACTCTACAATAAAAAGCAGACTTCTGCTCAAAAATAATCTAGAATGGTGAAAACCAAGCTATTTTTAAGCTAACATGTTAAAAGAGGATATTTTTAAAACCAGTGCAGAATGCTGGTAGGTCAGAATTTGAGTCCAAGTGAAAAAGCTAAAAAGTCAGAAAACCAGAAGAGGTGAAAGGGACCAGTGATCAATCATTCATTCTTAAAATACCTTTGCCATTTAAATACCTTAATACAGACAAAATACATTGCTGCAGTTTTGTATTACATTCTGGTGTGTTTGAAAGTTGTGGTTTTTTCCCCTAAGTTTACGCCTCCCTTCCTTCAGGGTTGGTAGGTAAATAAACATTCCATGGATTCCTTACGTTAAGAGCCCATTTATTTGGAAAAAGACGTTTCATTTGCCAGAACCACTTGAAAGTGCGTCTTTGATCTGTAGATAGGAATAAAGGAAAGAAGTAAGTACCTCAGTAAGCATGGTTTTTCTGTACTACTTTTTCAGAAACTTTTTGTTAGTTGGGCCTTTTAACTGCTTTATTTTCCTCAGTTCAGGGAATTGTGGAACAATTTATGGTATTGGATCATTCCAGACATTGTCTACCCACAGTGCTTCTATAGGAAAAATGTGACATCCCAATCAGTTCGGTTACTCAGTATGTAATCATGATATTATATGAAGTCATAATCAGATATTAGCATATTTGTAAGCACTCAGTGTGTGGTTTTAAAATAATCATTTCCGAAAATGTGACCATTGGAAACAACTGTAAAAATATCCATGCCAGAGCATTAGTTTTAGGAATCTTTCTCCATGGACAAGACTGTTTGAACGCACATTTGGCCTTTTCTAAGTAATTTCTTAGAAATTCTGCATTAACATTGTTTCAAGATTGGAGGGCCTTCTTAATATGATTTTATGACAGTTCATGAAAAGCATGTACTGTGATACACATGGATAAATTTTACCTTATACCTTATTGTTTTAGCACATGCCAATAGTATTGTGGTAGGAATGCTACATTTTCCAGTGAAGATAATGCTTTAAAATTTAACGTGGTTTTAAATATTCTGGAAAGAACCTATAAATTTCAGTCAATGGAGATCAGTTAGTGCCAAACTTAATAATATGTAAGTTACATGAGAGAGAAATTGGTAATTTAAATTGTGTTTGTTCAAGATAAACAAGCAAGGATATAGGAAACAATGCAGTAGTCAAATGCTTATTTGACTTACAAGCTAAACAATTGTAAAGTTTAAGTCAACTAATTTTACCAATGTTGATGACTAAATTAGTGCCCTTTGACTCATGTGACATTTATTGATGATGATGCTTTAATTTTTAATATAGCCTTAATACTAATACAGTTTTCAATATCAGTCAGTGCATATAGTTTTGAGGGAGATAACTGGGACCATAACCATAATTATCCTATTCATTAACCATTTAAGATAAAGAGATTTCTTATGTCAAGAATGTATACAGCTCAATCTATTGCTGAAATAAATTTTTTCCCCAGACAAATGAAAAATTGTCATGTTTTTCTTTTATTGTTGCTTTTTGAGTGTTTTTAAATAGTCAGCCTGTGTTTTAAATGTGTGTGTACTAAGTGCACTTTCTAATGAAATAAATCATTAAAAGAGCTGTTTCTTATAATAGGAAATCTTATATGTTCTTGGAAAGCGTGTGCTTGCAAGATCTAATGTAGTGTTTTGGATTCGGTGTGGAAACATTACAGGAAATGTGCCTTGAAATGGAAGTGGGGTCTGCTGGTGAAATTTGTCACATTTGTACTTACTTTCTTATGTGTTTATCAGTAGGCATTTGATACAATCTGTGGCAAGATAAAGCCTTAGAATCAATTTGTAATAGATAAAACAGACTTTGTGGGATGTCTTGTTACTGTTAAGTAAGATATTGTGATTTTTAAATTACAAACTGATTTCCTCCCTAGTTTTAAAAAAGTAGATGTTATGTTCTCAACTTATCTGTTCAACCTGCTTTCTTCCAGAAAGAGTCCATATTCTTCTGATAGTACATTGTTGTGCTGATATTATTACTATTGCCTTTTAATTTTATCTGAGCTTTTTAAACCAAATTTGTTTTCAAATTTCTGCAATTACTATTTCTATTTGTAATTATTTTTAAAAACGTTTAAAATATCAATTTGGTTTTTCAAGAATGAGCAGGATTCATTGTATTAGTTATACATTACTATACAACAAATTATCTCAAAACATAGTGGCTTAAAACAAATATGTATTTCACATGGTTTCTGAGGATTAGGAGTCCTGAGGCAGCTTATGGGGTTGTTTCTGGCTCAAGGTCTCTCATGAAGTGTTAATCAAGTTTTCAGCTTGGGCTGCATCATCTGAAGTCTTGACTGGGGCTGGAAGAACCAGTTCCAAGAATACTCGCTCACATAGCTGTTGGCTAGAAGTCTCAGTTCCTTGCCACATGGGTGTCTCCATAGTGCTGTCTGACTGTTTCAAGACATAGCAGCTGGCTTCTTCCAGAATGAGTGACTAGAGAGAGACCTAAGCTGGAAGCCACAGTAATTCATAACCCAGTCTTAGAAGAGCTAGTCCATCCTTTTTTGCCCTAGTTGTACATTGTGGAAAGATACTGTATAGTATGTGAATACCAAGAGGTGGAAATAATTGGGGTCATCTTGGAGGCTGCCTTGCATGCTTATTAACTTGTAATTAATGATCATTGGAGAATTACACAGAAAAGTAACAGCTGGCTTTTGGGGAGGCACAAAGAAAGACATGATTTGAAAAAAGGAGCTTCTTAGGAAATGTTTTTTTTTTAATGTGTACTTATGTTATTTTAAAAATGAGATTATATATATATATGTGTATATATATACACACACACACACACACACACACAAATAAAGGATGTTTTGAGGGGAACAGGGCAGTGTTTTTTTAATCAATCTTAGATCCTAATCAACTTGCATTTTTTTGTTTCTCTGTACAAGTGGTAATTGTATATGTTTTTAAAAAATTTTTTTAACCACTTATCTGCATTCATATAGATATCTCATATAATTCTAAAGTTAATCTTGTAGTTCTCCACCTTTGTGATTATTTACTTAAGGTATGATAAGGAATTTTGTTTTGAGAACTTGCCATATAGCATACTTAGAATACATAAAAACAAATATGACTTTTCCTAGAGTTCAAATCCACTAGGGATCTTGGACTCTTAACATGAGTATTCCCGTTTTTGTCAACCCTTTGTATAGGATTATATAAGGAAGTAGCAAAGCTGTTAAGCTGTTGGCCTCTGGGATGAATTGAAGATAATCTTGGCTTTTGCTCAGAGAGAATAAGAAAGAGGGCCCGAAAACATTTCATACTCCAGTTTAACATTTGTGAATAAAGATATTTCAGTGCCTTAGTTGAAACAGTAAAAGAAAGTAAAAGAACAGCCGGACCTCCAAGAGGAGAACAGATGAAAATATGAAATGTGGATTGAATCAAGAGGAGTGAGTCATCTCTAATAAGCTGGGAACTTCTATATCTTGGCTCTGGATAAATAAATGAAGCTTTGTTACAATCAGTTATTTTTCCAGTGTGGAAGAAACCTGATTATAGCAGTATATTCCAACAACCTTAATTACAAATAGTTTTAGAGTTAATGAGCATATTAGAGTAGCCCTATAACTAGGGATTCTGCCTAGAAAACAGATAACATAAATAGGTTTCCTTCCATTATAAAATGGATATATTCTATTAACCATCTTTAATCATCATTTAGCATATAACTTGAGCTCTAGAGTTATTTGTGACATAAAACAGTGACCATTGCATTATATCTCATATCTCATGGTTTTATGAATTAGGAATATAGGCAAGGCTCAGCTGGGTGATTTGTCTCTTTCATGCAGTATCTGTGGGGGTCACGTAGTAAACAGCTGGCAGATGAGCTAGTTTCAGGACCCAAGATGGCTTCACTCACTTGTCCGGCACTTTGTTGGACATGACTGGGAGTTTGGGCTCACATGGAACTACTGACCAGTGTAGATGTGTTTGATTTCACCAGCATGACAGTCTTAAAATGAATCAGAACTCCCAGAGAAAATGTTCTAAGAGAGCTGAGTAGAAGTGGCAAGACTTTGTATCAGTTTCCTATTGCTGCTGTAACAAATAACCACAAATATAGTGGCTTAAAAGGACACAAATTCATTCGTTAGAGTTCTGGAAGTCTGAAGGCCAAAATTAGACTTAAGGGGCTAAAATAAAAGTATTACCTTGTCCTCCTAGAGGCCCTAGTGGGGAACCTGGTCCTGGTT